ATCATGATTCATTAGGTCAGTGTTGAGTTGACGCGACGTGTTGTCTCGCAGTTTGTCACGCGATAAGTGAGATACGTATTTAATTTCTGTGATGTCGGCGTTAGCAGTTTGCTTCAAGATTTTAAGGGAATAATAATAATAATAATAATAATAATAATAATAATAATAATAATAAGTTTTAGTCGATGCTGTGGCTGGTTACGGTTTGCCGCCCAGCCTAAGGTTTTAATCTTTACTCTGGGCATCCAGACGTTTGTACTGCCAATATAATAATAATAATAATAATAATAATAATAATAATAATAATAAGTTTTAGTCGATGCTGTGGCTGGTTACGGTTTGCCGCCCAGCCTAAGGTTTTAATCTTTACTCTGGGCATCCAGACGTTTGTACTGCCAATATAATAATAATAATAATAATAATAATAATAATAATAATAATAAGTTTTAGTCGATGCTGTGGCTGGTTACGGTTTGCCGCCCATGCAGCCTAAGCTTTTAATCTTTACTCTGTGCATCCAGACGTTTGTACTGCCATAATAATACTATGAATAATAATGATAACAATAGTAATGATTTATTGATTTATAGTGCGCCTTTTAACATACCAGGTGATCAAAAGTGCATCAAAAACCATATGACCTGGTTATGGAAAGAGTGCAGATTGAGTTACAAGACGAGGTCCATAAAAACGCTAAAAAAAAAAAAAAAAGAACGAGGTAGTCCCGGGCAATGCCGAGCATGCAAGATGGGTCCTGGAGTTTTAACAATTATTATCTACTTGCATCGCAAGATTGTTTCATTCTTGCTTTTCATTGGTTTATTTCATCGGGCTAAAATATCTTAATTTTAGCCCGTAAAATGCATCCTAATGCCCGACAAAGTGACAATAATTTACTTTTCTTATCACATTCATTTTTGTTTCACTTCTGATTCACATCAAAGATGCTTCTGTAGAAGTTCAGAACACAAGTACATTTTAACTGAAACTGAAGAAACATTTTCAGAAAACTAATTCCTTTTCTGGAACGGGAACACGGTGAGATGATGGAAAAGGAACCAGACGGCTTGTCATTGACGTCACAGATTTAAGTGTTCCTTAATCTTAAAGCTGTAAATTTTCCCGACGGCGGATACTTGAGAATCTAATTTCAACATATCTTTCGAAAATGAACGCGGCGCCTTTGTGAATAAATTCCAAAGTCAAATTTAAAGAGAGGTAATATTTTTAAACTTGAAATAAGGCAGCGAGTTGTCAACTGTAATTTCCAAAGAAGCATGTGTGGACAAAGATGGCTCGCAGCAGTTGGTGTTGCCTTTACAAGTAAGGTTCTTTTGTATGGCATTGTGTATTTCATTCAACTTTCAAATATTCTTAACTTGCTATCTAATGTTGAACGCTTTAGTAAAAAATGCTTTTAAGCTAATCGGACATATGAAAAAAGGACTTCAGAGGAAAGCAATTACAAAGCTATGAAAAGCTGCGAAAATTCTTAAAGGAAGAGCAATGCTTTCATTTCACTGTTCTCGCGGTTAAAGTATCCATTACAACTTGATTCCTGAGGGACAAATGGGCCGGGTGAGTAGGAATACATCGAAAATGTGTTGGTGGATGTTCTTCAGCTTTTTGATGAACAAATTAAAATGATGGCGGCAAACACAGAAGAAATCTAAGAAATTACATTAGATGACAAATGCTACAAATTTGAAGATGTCAAGTTTTCTTGTACAAACATCTGCCGAAAACGCGCAAACGAAGCAATGAAAATAGTTTTTCATTTCCCACAAATAGTTTTTCCCACAACCAAACGATGGATATGTGAAACTTTAAAATTAATTTTTCAGTAACAATAACCGACAAGTTACTGCAGGCTTTGAGGATGATGATGTGTGGTAGCATTAGTTGACTGGCCCTTGTAGAGCAGAAAAATGTCAGTGTTTAATTTCTCTTTGTAATTATCCATTTTCAATCGCCTGAATATAGACTTTACCGAGGAAATAGTTTAGTCAGACTTCTTTGTACATTTAGCTTTTAAACGATGATGTTTAATCCTGAGTTAAAGAGTTGAAAACTGACTGCGAGATGGTTTTTTTTTTTTGCTGTTTTTTATCTTCGGTCTGGTTGTTTTTGTTGTATATGCTATTATTTTTTGTAATATTTTTTCGTGGCGTGCACAAAAACTTAACGTTTCGCGAACAAAGGGAACCTGTTGAAAGGCAAGACCTTTCTCTACAAACCTATCGATTTGAGTACCTCTTCTTCTGACCGGGTTTATTTTATGTTTCTTACCGCCCTATTGAACAAAAAAGCAAACTGATAACTTGTTCTGCTGTTTTTTTGTTTTTGTTTTTATTTTTTTCCAGAAAAATTAAAAAATGTACTGAACATAAAAGTGGATGAGTTACATATTTAGTCTTATGATTTTATAAATCCATTCACTGTAATTGCACAGCGATAACACATTTTGATCGTTTTTCGCTTTTAATGACCCCCAAACGTCACAAATTTTACCCTCAAATGGTTCTTTCTTTAATTTGACCGGACATATTAAATTGTTTCTATAAAAAGCTTTCACCTGTTACGGAAAAGGAAAATTATGAATTTTGTTTAACAAATATTTTTTGGAAGCTAAGCCCTTTTTTGTAATAACGTAGCTCCATCTCCTGCCTTTAAAAGCACACATAACCACAATTCCTCTATTCGCTCCAACGAAGGGCTCACGCTCGAAACGTCAGCTTTTGTAATCGTTACGGTGGCCAATTTACCATTTCAACTTTGTTGATATATCCTTTTTTTTAATAATTTACTGAGTGATGTAAAATTCCAACCAGAAAGTGTACATTGATCAGAACATGATATTACTGATCATGATTTTTAAGAGTATTTTGGTGTAAGTGAGTTAGAACCATATAGTACACAACGGTGAAAGAAGCAGCAAAAATACGATTTGGGGTAAAATTTCTTCGAATGCAAATTTTGGTAAAGTTCAAGTTATTGCTTTTGCCAATTTTTATCGATTTCATTCCTCGTCATTAAGATTTAAGGAAATTAAACAAAGTCGTGTAGGCGGAAGGCTAACCTGAAAATGATTTTCAGATTTCAGTGAGGATTTTACGGTTCCTTTTTCTCAAAATGGCCAGCACTGTCGATGACGTGTTCTAAAAAATCTCGTTCTTGTCTCGGTTTTCAGAACATTTCAGAACAAGGTCATGAGTATTAACTTTCGCATTGTAGAAGTAGACTCTGAAAAGGCCCTTCTTTTCGGCGAAGTCCGTCGCATGAGCTAAAACATAGCAGTGAAAAAAAAAAAAAAAATGACGTGAGTGCGCTATGCCTCTCTTCCAGAGTTCCGAACTGCACACTGACATCAATTTTTTTTCGGTGACTTTTTTTTTCGCCTAAAAGCAGAGGCTGTTTGTAGTCTATGGTAGACGACTCATGGAGTCATAACACTATTTTTTCTACCTTTTTTTTTAGTTTGTGAATTCTATTGGGGCTGTGACGCAGTTCAGTGTAACTCGGAATGGAAAGAATGGAATAAAGCTTGCTTTAAATTTGTTCCCAAATATGTCCCTTTCTCAATCGCATCTGCTGCTTGTAAAAAGGACCAAGCAAATCTGGTGTCAATTCATAGCCTTGAAGAAAACGAATTTGTTCGAACTTTAGCCGGAAACAGCACTGTTTTCATCGGTCTTACTGACGGTAAAACCGAAGGAGTGTTCGCGTGGAGCGATGGCAGCACCGTTACATATGAGAACTGGGAGGCTGACGAACCTGATAATGGCCTTAACATAAGCGACTGTGTGATTCTGGATGGGTTGTCGTCCCGTGGAAAATGGAATGACACGCCGTGTATTATGTGGTATGCATATGTGTGTAAATTTATCCAAGTGCAGCCCTTCAATGGGAAAGGTAAGCTGATTTGTTGTGACTCGCTGACTAGTTGAATCAAAAAGTGCGATTGAAGAATGTTCAAACAAGTCAAATTTTTTTAGAGTAAATAGATTGATCCACTCCTGGACTAAAATCGCAATTTTAAGGCGAGATCATTTGTTTGAAGTAACTGTGCACTTAAAATATGGTCGAGAGGCTAAGACGAACACCACTGTTGATCTCAGTTGATCACTGTTGATAGCACTGTTGTGCTATCACTGAATCAGAATAAGGGCGCTTATTGACAAAAATCAAATTCGAGGGAGGCTCTTGGTAGAAAGGGGGCACTTATTGGAGCGGAGGAACTAAATCGAATTATCACGGAGAATCCTTGTAAAAATGTCTCACTCGTGGAAAAGACCTTTCCCTCACATTTCTCACGAAGATACTGGTTTTCAGTTCCGCAGAAATGGAAAGGACCCTCATATCCTCAGTCCAGAGTGTATGCCACACCCTAAACGGCTTAACGGCTGTAACAAAAAGTTTTTTCTTTCGTCCACAGACAAGAGCGTTATGAAGAGAGAACAATCCTTCATCAATTACGAGTGGAATGCCCTCATTAATCATGTGCTTTACAAAGAATTTACGTCATCTGCCATTCATTGTGCTTTTCTTTGCATGAATAATCCAGCATGCAAAACAATCAATCATAAATCACAGCATGCGGATGGCGAGGGAGAATGCCAACTTAACAGTGTTACGGCAGAGGAATTTCCGCTGGATCTTGTCTATTCGTCTCATTCGACTTACATTGTTCCTATTGTTCGACCATAAAACCGACGAGGACCACGTGATAGACCTAAACAATCATACATTGATTCCATTTAACTGGCGAATACCAGCTTCTCTTATTATCGTACTTTGTGTAACATAAGGGGACTATCAATGATTTCGACCACTCAGTGTTTGGCATTTCGAAAAAAATAGTGTGCTGGACGATTAAAACTGTCATTGTGGTGCATTTCTCCGTAAAAAGATTCAAATAAGAAAGACAACAACCTTTCGTTACCATGAAAATATCAACAGAGGTGAGTATAGCATGGCCTTGTTTGTTCTTGATAAGGACAATGACAATTGTAATGAAACAAATCATAATAAAGATATTTTAACAGTGAGCCCACGTTACTGATGTCCTATTCATTGATTGATGCCCTGCATAAAATAAATGTCAGAAGCAACTGAAGTACCTGTATAGTAAAATCTTTAAATTGTAATGGATCGCTCATAGTTTATTACGGGGGGGGCAGGAAGAAATTCGGAGGAGTTTATTTGTGTCACAATATAGTTTACCTGATCCTTACCCCCCTAGACAAGGCTCTATATTATTATGATCCACACTCATTGAAAGTTTAATTGGCGGTCAATTTTCTGTAGGCTCCCCTTTATATGAGTAGTCCAGTGGTCAGTGCGCTGGACTCTAGGTCAGATGGCCCGGGTTCAAGTCCTGGCTGGGGCTTGACGTTGTGTCCTTAAGCAAGACGCTTCACTCACATTGCTTCGTCTTCTCCGATAGGACGTAAAGCCGGAGGTCCCGTCTCCTGCACCTATCAATTAGTTAATTTCGGCAAGGGACGTTAAAGAACCCACATCACGAGATTACTGTGATGTGGTCTGGCCTGTTTACTGGGAAGGGGGGGAGGGGGCATCTGTAAAAATTTCTCCTTTATTAATTGTAAACTGCCGCCGGCAGTCTGGAAAAGTCCCCCGCACAGTGTTGTAAAGCGCATTAGAGCATTTACATGGAAATGCGCTATAGAAATTGATCTATATTATTATTATTATTATTACTCTGTCGGCATCGACTGACTCACCCCCTCCCCTCTGTTTCCCAATAAAAACCATGCAACTTCCGGCTTGCTATTTCAGAACAACATTTTTATGTTGGTGCGTAACTGCTCCTAAGCGGTTTTAAAAATGGCGACATTTATTGAATCAATTTTTGAACGGTTGCGCCACTCTTAGGGATTTCAAAACACCTTTGGTAGTAGTTTTAATCAAGTCTTTAATTCTATAGTATGGTTTTCGGAGAATACCTCTTTACTAATTTGTATGTACCTTGTTTATATCTGCACGTCGCAAACTCAATCCTTTAAATGTTTACCCTCTCAGCCCTAACATCAGTGTGCGTATTCTCCGTAATGTTTATTCTTCATTTCCTAAGGCGGTGACAAGGAGAATTTGTTTAATAGTCTACACCTTTCTCCCAGCCAATGAAAAAGCGATACTCAAACACAACATCTTATTAAAGGCTTGCTTAGAGTGACCAATCAGATTGCAAGAAAATCAAGGACATCTCTTGCAACTTTTTACAAACCAGCTCAGTACTGGATCACTTAATATTTGTACTCACTAAAAAATCCTGTTTAGGAGGGACTGAATTATGCAATAGCAAAACGGAGGCAATACAGTGGTAATTGAACTTCCTGTTGTGCAATTTGGTCCGCTGTCATACTTATGATTTCAAATCAAAATCCCGCCGAGAGTATGATTTCAGACCAAATTGCATTACAGAGTTTAATCATTATTTATTCTCGTGGCGTTTGTATTTGACTCAGGGATGATAGATGTTATACACCCTAAGGGGATAACGAAACGAAATCTCGAGGAAATAGACATAGCTAGGGTTGAGTTTCATTAAAATCTGACACCTTAAAACAAATATTTATTTTCAGTTTTCAAACAGCAACAAAATTTTGTTGATCTCTCTCCCCAATAGTCAAACTAAAGACGAGCGCCGTAACTCAGAATATGATTTGAAATAAAGGGCACTAAGTCGCTCATTTCATGGGGAAATGTGCTCGTTAACTAACATGAGTAAGTTGAAGAAATACCCCTTACAGTAACTGACACATATCAGGGCTTTATCCTACACTCTTGAAAATGCCCATCGTTATTTACAAAATTCTTATTTACGCAACATCTGCGTTCGTCGGGTATTACAGCAGTGTAGTGTTTTTCCAACTGACATAGTCGATTTCTTGGCGAGGCGTCCTGTATTTGGAAATAATAGCCTCTTGTCGCTAAAATGGCTGTCATAAGTGTCTCTATGTTTCTTGTAGTGTTTTAGAAAACACTTGTTAGAAACAGAAACAGTGTCAATGCGCAACGATATTGTTACGTCGTTAATAATGTATGTTATAAATTAAATGGAAGTCTAAACAGTCACAACGATTACTCCATTGGGATGAGGTCGAGGAAAAAATATATTTATGTTAAAATTAGAACATATTTCTTCATTAGAGTTGCTAATTTTGAATTGATTACGAAACCTCTATGTCACCCACAATATTTGTTTCCACCGCTGCCATTGTGGTTCGTTTAGACTCCTCTAATACAGACTATGGATATTTTAAATTTCTAACAACTTTACCAAGGCAATGCACACCAAACTCAATATTTAGTTGCCTATTGTCAAACGCTTGAAAGGTAATATGCAATCATATATAAGGATTAGAGACTCCGACAACATTTTCCTAGAAAAAAAGACAACTACTAGCCATATCTATATATCGCAAATATTAAAAAATCTATCATAACCGATTAGGTGCCCTGGTTTTGTTGTATTTCCAGTTGCGTCCCACTCATAATAATAATCTAGATGAAAAAAGTAGATCGTGTTCGTTGTCCTATCGACGTAAGCACTATCTAGGTTGTCGGGGACACCTTTCCATTCTTGTGAACTATCTTTTGGGTACCCTGCTACTGTTTTATCTGCATATTGATCAAATTTATAGACTTGATGACCTTTAAAAAAGAACGTGTAACCATCAAGAGTAGAAAAGGCAGCATCTATATTATCTGGTATCCCTGGCCATTGATGTGGGCCTATATCTAAAGGATAGCCAGAGTACATTGCGTCCGCAGAATTGTGGTATTTCCAATACTGTGTCCCTTTGAAAATGTAGGTAACGCCCCCAGTGCTATAATCGAAAACTTCATCGGGGTCATGTGGGAAAGAACCCCACCCAGAAACTATATTCAGCGGATAGGTTGGCATGTTAACGGTGGTCCGTGCGTCAAGTTTCCAGTAAATATCTCCTTTCATGACGTAGGTCGTCCAAACATTACTCTTAGAGGAACGCCAGTCGAAGATGTTTTTTACTCTGGGGACACATTTACCTTAGGAGAGAATGTAACGCTTACTTAGACCAATCATGAAGGGACAAAACAGAATTTAGATCTGCATTTGTACTCATACTCCCTGCACTGTAGTATTCATGATCGTCATCATTGTAAGTGTTGTTGCTACTCCTAACTATCACATCATCAACATTTCTGTAACTATTATCATTAAGATGCACTATTTACAGTGAATGCTCGAAACTTAAGAGCAAATCCGTGCAAAAATCAAACATTGCATGGGAAAGTCAAAAAACTAAAATTTGCTGTACTTTTGCATACGGGTAGCCTGTACACAATTGCTGTGTAGTTTTTTTCTTGAAAAAATTATTTGTTTCCGAAAAAACGAAAACGTTTCGTTTTCAGTCCCGGGATCGATTTGGCGACACCGAACAGGTTTAAACTAGGTCATGATTCACTCGACTCGTGTATCAAAACAACTGCGCTAGAAAAAGCTATCATGTTGTACAACTTTTTATAGTCTAGACACCGTGAGAATTTATTTAAACGAGCTTGTGTGACAGTTGAATTTGTTCATGGGGTGGGGGGAAAAGAAGTCTGCGGTCTCTTTCTATAATTCGTTTCTTTGAGGTATTTTACCAAGAATTTATCTTTCTCGTTACCTACTTTTGAAGAATCAAACACCTCAATTTTATGTAATTAAATTAACCTCATTAGTGTATGTTTATTTCCCACGCGAACTAAACAAAGATTCTATATTTAAGAAAGACCGTGATATTTTGCGTGTTCCTGCTCTTAGGGAAATGATGGAAGATTTTTGCTCTCTCGGGAGTATAGTAGGCAGTCCATGTTCGTAAATTTATCATATTATATTGTCGCAATGTGCAAATCATGTAGGGTAGTTTTGTCAATTAAAACCACCGAGACCTCTTTCCTGTTTTGAAATGATTTGATTGATAACTTCGGAACGATCGTCAAAAACAAAAGAAAAGCGACATTTGGCAAAAGGACCCAGTCTTGGCCACTGGGAGTGCCTTACCCACCCTATGTACCAATCACTGTTACGAACTCTTGCTCAGCTTGATATAGACTTGCTCACAAGTCGCTCTTTTGAGCGCGTAGCGCGACAGTTAGCGCGAAGCGCGAGCGAGCCGAGCCGAGCGAGCGAAAACTACCACACCAGAACAGAAAACCAAGCGAACGACTTTGAGAAAGTCTAAGCTTGATATGCAAATTTTGTGTTGCATTGGAAGCGAGACGTAATTTGCATATAGTCTCAATGGATTCACGGTAAACTACGTGGGAACACATGCTTGAACTACTTTATTGTCAGCCCTTTAACAGTTTCCTTCATAATTTTCGGGAAAAACTGTATTTTTATTGTAAAGAGTACAAATGTGAAAAGTGAGCTACGAAGAATTCGTCGAAAACTAAGCCGGTTTTGATGGTGGCTCAATATGGCCTACGGTCCCCAAAATTCACTGGCCCTCGCGTTTGGAATTCCTTACCTACAAGTATAACTAATTCAAATTCTCTTAGAATATTTCGTAAAGCCCTGAAGAACTCTATACTCAATTCTTACTCTTTTTAATTATCTACTTCAGTGCATAAAATAATACTTCTTTTTTTTTTTTTAATTAAAAAAAAAATTATTCCTAACTTTGCCCTTAACTATATCTTATAATTAGGGGTCATCCATTAGATTAGCCTTTGCTATTTGGATGATCCTAACTCGCTACCCATTTTATTGCTAAATCTTTTTCTCCTTATTCCTTTGCTGTACTGTGTTTAGTTGTTATGTAAATTTAACCTGTATATCTTGTAAAACCGAGCTGAGTTAAATGAATCATCTTCTTCTTCTTCTTCTGTAGCGGCGGGCTACTCTGTTTCTGATAAACCTCACCAATGAAATTAAACAAACAGTAAAATGAAGCACTTTGAAAACTCGAGATTATCATATGTAAGTTGAAGTCAGTATATCTGCATTATTCTTTACGCTTTTTGAGTTGCCAGGATTTCTAAACAAAAACAATTTTGTTTTTGTTAATGGTCACGCATACACAGTATGGCGTGATTTTACGTATTTCGTTAACGATTCTCAACAAATTCTTAAAAATCCCACATTTATTTCCCCAAAGTAAACTTTACATATTTTGAAAGATCGTTAACTCGGGTATTGTCATTCTCAATCTAACGAAATTCTAAACAAAGGCACACGCTTAAAATTATCGTTATTTTTCGCCTACCGTTTCACGAAGCACGGGAGAGAGCCAGAACTTCTTTACTTCTCTTGAATACTCAGATAAATCTAATGTCTATGAAATCATGTTGTTTAGACCATGACAAGTTATACAACAAATTGGAACTATGACAGTTTCTTCAAGCGCAGTAGTTTTGACAAGCGAGTCAAGTGAATCATGACCGATTTCAACCCTGTTTGCACGTGTTTGGGATCGTCAAATTGTGCCCAATTTGAAAACGGCTTCCATCGTTTTTCTCAGGAATTAACAGGTATTTCAAGGTAAAAACTAAATGACATTCATACACTCACTTAAGGCTATCCATATGCAAAAAGACGAGTGAATTTGATTTTTTTTTTTTTCAACTTTGCCGAAGATTTGCGATTTTGTTTGATTCTTGCACGGGTCTGCTTTAAACACGGTTGTAGAGCATGGCATGCGTGACTCACTTGCCACAAGCATTTTGAACCGTAAGACAGCGATCGAAAAATATATATGTTAAATACGTAAAGACGATTCCACATCGAGTGAAGTTTTGCCTTTTATCTAGAATGCTTTCACAGCTTGGCCGTGGAAGATCTGGGCACGAAACTAATGGTAGATTGTACGTATTCTGTTTCAGTGATATACTCTTGTCATAATAATGGTTCTCGTGCATGGTTTCGTATGACGAAGATCGTAGCCGCCAATCTCAAAAATGCTTACAAATGCGAAATTGACCGAAGTTTGAAAATAAAATGCTAATGTTCTATTCTTTGTTGTTTGGCGACGTGTAAATAACCGATAGCAGTTTACAACTCATTCAAACCAATTAAATATCATCAACCCTTTCACTCCCACATGTGACCAAGACGTAATTTCTCCTTCTGCTATTAATAAATATTTCAAGCAGACAATTGATGACGATAAAGAAAAATTTTAGTTGACCTGATACCAAATTCTCTGAACCAACATTTGAGAATTCTATAACAGACTGCAAGGAGAATTACAGGTTAAGATGCACACAGCGTCTTAAATTCGAGGGTAAAATACCGAGTTAAATAAATTGGGAGACCAACAAGGTGCAACAAAAAAAAAATTACATTTCAATGACGTCATCAATTTATTGTTAACAATTGACGTAAGAAGTAATACCTCCAAGATCCTGAATACCAGCGATGTCATCAGCATCGAGACACACGTCTATTGTGTCGAGGCTTATGGTTGGCCACATGATGGAAGTTTGAACAGAAGAATGCTTCAAACCCAAACTATGTCCTATCTCGTGTACTGCGACACGATATAAACTTTTGGTGCCTTTTAATACGTTTTCGATGGTATTGCCAAAGTATTCTGCACAGTGGGTAAAAGGGATATACCATGCCTCGGAACCGTCAAAGTGAACATCGCCATTAGGAGGATAGAAAGCATGCGCATAACTGTATCCCGGACCGTCGAAGGGTAGGCTATCGTTGTGAGCATCTAAGACCAGAGTAAACATACAAGGTATCAGGGGAATACCATTCTCTACGGAGTATAGCTCTCAGTTATGCGTCGATTTAGTCGAAGCTTCAACATCTACCCAGGCTTTTGAACTTTTAAAGATTTGCCTGTTCAAATCCCCCCCTCCCCCATCGGGGGCATAAATTGCGTTCAAATTCAATTGTTCGCCCAATGTTTTTTTTTGTAAAAGGCGAAATCAGCGATCGTGACTTTCTACTCTTTGATCAAAGGTCTTGTAGACTTTGTTTTCTGAACCATTCACCCGAACTATTTGCCTTGCATACCTCTATGTTTAAAAATATCACACTTGAATTCCGCAAGAAAGACTTGACACTTCCAGTTTAAATTCCCCACCCCAGCCAGGCAAGGTTCAAATTTCCTACCCCCGAGTACGGACAACGGTCAAATGCCGGTAAGTTTCCCGGGGGGGGATGTTGAAGCTTCGAAATGATCAGCACATTAAGCAACTTGATTGACCACAACTGTAAGGTATGTAAGATAAGCAAAAGAATAAATAAGATGAGGCTAAATTGTTTTTTTTGTGGGCAGTAAAAAATAACACACGAAATAGCAACAAATAAGCGAGTGATCTGTTAAGTACTTCAAGCAAAGCGTGCATAGCTAACGTGTCTTGTAGACTGTATGCTTACAGCTGTTCTGAGAAAGATTGTTGGAAAAAAGGGTAAGCGCTAGCGCACGCGCCAATCTCGAAGGGTATCTGGGTATCCCGACAACCAATGAGAAGTCAGGGTTTGTGTACAATTATTCGATTAACCGTGGTCACATAAAGACATTCCTAGCATTCAACGGCTGCTCGGGCTTTCCGTCAAAGCTGGCGACAACGGAAATTGTAACACGATAAACAGCGAAAAATAACGCCAAGAAGAAAAGAATCGGTAAGTTTTTCCCAAACATTCAGTTCTTGTGACGTCTTTCGATCAATTCTCTTTCTCTGTTACTAACTGGAGTTGAAAAGAAAAGCTGTTTATCGAGTCCTCCTTGAAAACCTTTCCCGACCCTACCCTACAAGAAAGTGGCGAAAATCCACATAGCATATTCCTCCTGCCTCAGTTTTTCTCAATGTTTTCTCCAGTCTTGTTTGCTCGCAAAGATTTCCCTAAGAACCTATAGTCAATTTTTAAAATTGTTGTGAAATGGTTGGATAATTAATTCTTGGTGTTGATATTCATTCGCCAGGAATGTACTGAAAGATGATAAAAGGGTGTGGGGCGGACTAAAAAAAAACGCTTCTCGGTCTTTCACCAGATATACTACGAACTAATAAAAAAATTAATTATATATATATATATATATATATAGATATAATTCATTTATCTATTTATATTCATATATAAATAGATACATATCTGAGGCACTAACTGATTGCTGTTTCTAAATTTGGGTCATTGAAAAATGCCGGTAGCGGTAGGTAGGTGGCACGATCTAGCTTGCATCTAATTATACCACTGAGGTAAAATTTTGAAGTTACTTACATTTGGCAAACTTTAGTACTATGTCCACGTTACTATTCCAGTGAGTTTGCCGCTGGAACGTGAATCGACTTACTTCTGCCCAAACCCTAAATGCATGTTCAAAAACGATTGCCGGTCTGTAAGGTACATTGGCGTACCAGGTAATATTTTTGTGACCCCATGTGGAACTTGATGTTGCATAGCGTCGAACTCGCAAATTGTGGTTCTGTGATAAGTTGGTGGTGCGATCAGCCAGATGAGTATTTTTTGCTGCTTCCTTCAGCTGTCGTGAAACTGGTTTTCTTCTGATCCACGGTTTTGAAATGCTTTTCACTTTCTGCGGGCGTTTTTTTGACATACGTTCGGCCGTTTGTCGAACTTGTAAACTGCTGTCGAAGTCCTAGGATCGGTTCAATAAAATTAGTGTGAGATGATGTGGCGCGTGTCAAGGACATACGACCTATTGCCATCTCCCTTACGCTCAATGAGTAACAGATAACTGACCTCTTTCAGTTCAGTGTTTAAGACTAGTAAACATCATGATACTTGCCTCGAATGATGGAGGTTGTCTTTTAGATACAAATTTCCTTGAGGTGTGTGGCCTTGTGTCGCATTCGCTTAGGAGCGTCGTCAATAAAATCAGTGCCACTTGATAAAATATACACTCCATCTTTTCAGTGTTGTCAGTCGGTTTTGTGTTCTTCGTGTGATCGGCACGGTTGTCTCTGCAATATTGACGAATCAGTTGTTATCGTAAGTATAAGTTGCCTGTGTTGTGCAGTATAAAGTTACACACCACTCATATTACACCGGAAATCTCTGCTGGCGGGAAACTCTCCCATTGATAATGGATTAATCATCTTTGTTTGCTTGTGTGTAGCGTATAACTACAGAGAAATTCTGCCAATACGCATTAGGAAAACAAAAATAAAAATCGAGAAAAAAAAAAAAGAAAAAAAAAGATATATCAATGCTTTAGATTAGCCTTTCTCTAATATGGCTTTCCTTCACTGTCTTAGACGCAAATTTTGCTATGTCACCTTCAACTCCACCACTTTTAATACAATCGTTGTACCCCTACACGATGTCACCGTCTCGAGCCAGGCGATCATTGTGTATGTGTGTTTAATATGAAAAAGAACTTCCTTCCGCGCCGGAACTTCTTTTTTCAGATGTGGGATCTACGTAAGAGAGCTATTGGAAATTGTTAAATCCGATCAAAAATTAGTTTCATCATTTGAAAAGAAAAAGACCTGTATTCGCTGACATTGCTCCAGAAATTCTTGTAAATGTAACTAATGGACAGTCTTTCACCGTGTGTGATTTATTTACGTGTGGGGTATACAGGATATACGTCAGAAAGCAACATCAGGAAAAAGAGAGAGGGAAAAAAACATAAAACCAAACTTCGAGAGACGAAATGATAGAAGGGAGAAATAAAATGAACATTGTCACTAAAGCTTTGTTATACCATCATGTAGTCAAACACAAAGATGGACTAACATTTACAAATGAATAGTTTCGTTTTAAAAAGGTGAAGACTTTGCTTATTTACAGGATTTGTGGGAAGCATGCCGGTCGCCCGGTCTCCACCGCACCGGAACTATGTAACGAACGTGATCAGACCCAAATATTTACATTCTGCTATGTTCTAGGGTCTGACTGTCAGAATGGCAGAATGAATGATTGAATGGTATGTCAAAGGACTTCCCATCAATCAGCAAGCCTTTTTACAGTATTTTAACTTTGTTTTATATCGGCCGCACAGTATTCAACTCTAGTAAAAACGGAATTGCCACAAAAATGTACGGAAAAGTCCGACAATTACAAGATTATTCCTGTATTTCGCTCGGCGGAAATACAAAAAATTTTGGAACTCTCTAAGTCTACATGATATCTGCCTCAGGCTTAAAAGTCTTTGCCTCTAAACAATACGATGCTTTGTCATTTTCATCGTTTTGCATGAAGATTTCATTCATAATCCGCAATTTTTTTACGCAACACTGTCAAAGAACAAAAGGCTAAGTTATCCAAAAATTCCTTTCTTAAGTCCTTTTGTTTGAAAATTGAATTAATCATTATTCCCTCTCCAAATCTTCCTTCATTCACAAAAAAAAAAAAAAAAATTACCCAATCACTTAACCTACTGGCACCACTTAAAACGCATACGTAACAAACATTGGCAACATTCGTTGGTGTTAAGCCAATAACTTCTCGGAAGAAAAAACCAGTTAACAAAACATTTCTTCTCTAAAAGTCAAAATAATTTGATCCCCTTGGATTACTAGCCTTTGTACCTTATTTGCAAAATATGCCGGCCGGCATGTTCATCAGTTTGCTGAAGCTCAACTCTTCTGGGGAAAATTGAAAGAACAGGCATTTTGAAGGTCCAGGAGAGCATTTAACCAATGCAATGACGTGGGTCAACACTTAGGCAGGCAAGCATTACTTTTCAACATGCCATATTGCCTTTTAAATAACATTTTCGTGAGTTGAAAAACGTTTATAAATTCCCTCACGCATCGTTTCCTGAAAGGGTTCAACCACATGTAAACAAACTGGGCAAAGTCGAACTGGTTGCTTGAAAGATTTTTGCTCAGTAAAACATTACGACTAATTATTCAGTACTTTAAAAACATTTTTAAGCATCAGTTGTTCGCCCACGCTTAGGAATGCATTATGAAAGAAGAAAAGGGAAGCTAGTTTAAATTATCGCCAGCTTTTCATTTGAAAAACGCTTTAGAAAGTAAATTTGAAAGGGATTGATATTTTTTTCAGCGTAAAAAACCACAGTATATTGCAAGCTTACTTTAGCAGTTCAAGTTACTCCAGTCCAGGCTGAGAAACCGGGGAGATCAACAAAAAATGAGAAGAAAAGACTGAAAATTGCTGGTAAACGTTAAGTCAGGGTAACTTGAGTCCGCCAGCATTGGAAGTTTCCCGGGCTTAAAGACAAATAATGTGGTGCACTGACCAGACATCTCGATTTCTCTGTATAAATAGCGCCATTGCTATTTAAATCCCGTTTTCATTTTTAAAGAACTTTTACGGTTTCCAGCAGCAAAAACTGAGTGCTTATAAGAGTTCGTTAAGTTAATTGAATTTAAGAAACGGTCGTACATAAGTTTTAAGTTCAAGCCTAATTTCAGTGCAAATTGGCAACGTCCTGATATACTTCAAGGAATTAATGTCGCGCCACTGTTAAGTTTGGCGGGAATATTAAGAGGTAATACGTTAAGAGATGGAATCCGCTATGTTCTGATACCTTCCGGTCACAAATACCGAATTAATTGATTAAAAGATAAAAGATACCTCTTGTTGATTCCAACAGGTACGAAAGCTATTTCCTCTATAGCAGTATAACATCAAAACAACCACACGCGGTTTGTTAGTAGTTAGCACTTCAGCGAATCGTACCACGCGACAGTTTGCTATTTTTAACAAAACTTTTTAAGATATGTTTACAAACAAAAGGCTGCTCATGCGATTAAGACACGTGATACGAGTTCTGAGCTATGTTACATCCGTACGTCCCCAATATGTCCGTACGTCTTTTACGCGAATTAAAGGAAATTTGCTAAGTGCTAATTTTAGACCAAGGACAGTCAAAAAGACCTGAATAAGATGCAGAGTATGTTTGGGACACTAGAACAGAAAAGTCTTAACAAAGGTAAGGAAATCGACTAAGGTGGTCAGTCAGCGGAATCGTGAGTATTGGCCATCGCGTGAGAAGCAAATTGATACCATCGGTGATCCTTGAAACACAACACACATACCATAATTCAAACGTTAATTGGCACCTAGGCCGATAGGTTCTTAGGTACCCAGCTGAGGAATGCAGCTATAAGAGTCAAAAATAGTGCTTCAAACACGTAGCAACATGAAGCGACACTGCCATTTTGGCTCAAAACTCTTGTTGAGCGCACAAGTGGTTTTTGATGATAAGATGTTAATAAATCCATTTGGCAAGTACGTTAGATGGAACCTCACCGCCTTGAACAAGTTCCGTTCTTACGAATAAGTGTTTCTTTCAAGTTGAAATACCCTTAACTTAACCGCACTCTTTTTAGGTAGTCATCCAATCCATTAAAACGCACATTCCTGAATTTTCCTCAAATTTTATCATCGACTCTTTAATCTTTTTAACTATAAATTGAATCAATCGAGTTTCCTACACAAACTGCCCTAGAACGATCAAAGTTGTTCTTTCCATACTCCGAGAGAGATGGCGCATACTTTTAAGTAAAAGGCATTAAACTTCTTGGGATTCTGAGAAGTTTATCAGGCTCTCTAAGCACCGGTGAATTAATTGATCGAGCTGAAGGCGACACAGCATGTTAAGTTATAACTAATAACAAGAGTATTATGGGTGCTACCATATGATGAGTTCCGCCGCATAAGAACAAGGATGTTCTGTTTATTTTCAGTCCGTTTCCAATTTTCTTACCTATTACAAGTTCACTCACTGACCTAAAGGTATCATTTAATGAGAATAAAGCATTATTTGAGAAAGTTCAAGTTCACGTCTTGATAAAGTTCAATCAAGTTAGTAGTCATCATGCGAGTCACTCACGGTCAGTTACGGCGGGTCTAAAAAGATAACATCTGGTTAACGCACCTTTGATAACTTCAGTATGTGTTGGTCTTAGGTTTGGCCAAATTTGAATTTCAACAGGGTTGTTGTCTAGAGTTAATAAGCGCTAGTGTCAGTATAAAAAATTTTCCTTGTCCGCATTGAAGTTGATGAAATGTTCTACAATCAAAACCTCCTACTAGCATTATGGGTAAACTCTAGAGTCTTCCAGAGAACACCGGCCTGTTTATTAGAATAATGATATTCATAAAATCCATGTTGTCAAATTATCTCTAGAAGAGTTTCAAAACACGAAAACTAACGGGTGCTATGAATGATGACTCGCACACTACATTATGCAATTCTTTTAAAAGTACTTATGTCAACTGCTGACATGTGCTGCTTAAAGTTTGGGATGAAGTTATGCCGTCTTTAATGAGGTAATGTAAGGAAATACAAGAAATTTACTTTGTGGTCATTCATTTGAAGGTTACAAGCATTTGGCTTCATTGCAAGGATTATTATTTTTCTATCTATTCATGCTATATGAGGGACGATATCCTGCACAAGCGCTCAGGGCCAGAAGGGCAGCATTGAAAACTCATCCGATCTTTCCTCAACTCGTTCATATCTTAAGCTTCGTCAGGATTGAACTTCGTTCATCATGTTCCCGCCCCACATAGTTATATTAAGACTGTTGTGCTATACAGCTCTCTAGATTTTAATTGTGAGGATTGTGAGGTTGCACGCAACTGCCTCACTGAGATCAATTAGAACATATTTATCAGCTAGTATTTCTGTTTTGGTTGATAGTAAAACAATCTTCGAGAATTCTCCAACATGCATGACGCAAATTACTGAGCCTCTTCATGGGTGTTCATTTTTATGACATTTGTTAAGAAAAGAAGAACAAATTTAAAAAACAGAATAGGAGAGAAAAAAGTGAAGTTTGTCTAACTTTAAACAACCTTACCTCAAGATAGTGGTTTTAACGCAGATTATCAAACTGCTCTCACCTAGTTTTCCGTCTTCTGATAATATGTTATTTTCCTGGATTGAGCTTCCATTTAAGCATTTATTGGCGCGCGTAAGCTGATCACATGTAAAGTTGCGTTAAACGAATAGAAATACATATTCAGTTTTAAATTTAAGCGATCAATTATCGACCGCATGTCTATTGGATTATAGACACTCCATTTATGTAATTAGCGATCAATTTCCGTACGTTAATATGAACAAGAGCTTTCTTCCTGTCCGGAAATGTTTATCATAGTCGATTAGATACCGTACACAAAATCTGATCAACCCGTCAGTTTAATTATAGAGATTTAGATAGCAAAAGGCGTATGCTCATTTAATTTGCGAAAATATTGCGCAAGTCAGTTTAGATTCTCGTTCAAATCCCTAGCAGGGTCAAAACAATGAATATAAAGGTTAAGTAAAGAACGTTTTTTTAGACTGTTCATGAGAAGTTTTGGCCCCTTAATTAGTTTCCAAGTTTGTGGAATTGAAGCCATCAAGGCTTTCGAAAGAAATTTTTTTCCTAGAAATCGCCCGGAGTTAAGTTTGAAAGCTAGACAGGCAAACCCTGCAAAAAAAAAGAAAAACGTTACTGCGTTGGTAAGATGTAACAAGAAAGAGTATCCTAATAAATGTAACAGTACATTTAAGGTCAGACATTTAGTTCATGTTACACCAGACGACTTTTTACAGAACAATGAAATAAAAAGTGCGAGCACTGTTAAGAAATGTGTACTGTTCATAAAGTAGCAACAAAAAGAAGAGGGACTTAAAAAATATCACCATCGACGAAGATAGAGCTGATAATTTTTTACAAAAGAGCCCATTACATTAAACCTACTCTAAAGTCCTCACAGGGGAGGGTTGCCATTTCTACAGGCTGAAAATTATAACGGTTCTACAAAGCACTTTAAACATCGATTTTTTGGAGCCAGTGTTATAACTGTAACAAAACTAGATTTCCAACAATCTTGTTGTTTCTGCGGCGAATTATTCCGTATGAAGAGAAATGCGGTGACGCTTTTACAAGGACCATTAAGGAACATCTCAGAATTTGAAGGACGTGCAAAGACTCTTCCAAAATGTTTCTCATGATTCCTATCGCCTATTACGTGAAAGGGAAAGATACTGAGTCATGTGAAATTTCTTCCTGTTATGATCAAAGACCAGATGTTTTTCTCTTTTAGGACTTCTTATACTTTCCAACTCAGTAAACGGGTAGTCACAGGGGTTTAAATTGTCGGAAAAGTGCATTTTAGTGAAACTTTGAATCGAAGAGCATAGAATGTGTGGAAAATGCGTGGGTTAAATGGAACCTAAACTATTTCGTGCATTCATTAAAAAAATCTTTTTTTATGTAAACGCAAAGGTAAAATAATAAACAAATGTTACAGAAAACGTAACATTTCTGTTAAAATCATCTCTTTGAAGGATTGTAAATCCAAATCATTTGAAACGAAAAAACGCTTTAGGCGAAATAAAAAATTTTGTAGGGAAACTAAACACAAAATTGCTTGATAATCAACCTTCCTGAAAAACGGAAACATAGATAGCAAAAAAGACATCGAAATTGTATTCATTACGTGCGGGATTTTTTTTCTTTATACGCCATTATAATTTCAAATAAGCTCATCCTCTTGCACTACATGTTGCGTTAACTATTGACAAGGTTTCGATGTTGTTTCCAAAGAAAATATAAACACTAAGGAGTGAGTAGTCATTCTCGAAGCTCGTGCAGGAAAACCGTTCAATCGAAGGTTGCTCAAGTCCTAGGTTCTTTCGACTCTCAGTCGCTAGGGGCAAGGATTGATAGAGTAGTGACAAGCTCGCCTGATGCTGGATAGAGATTGACCTGCTATTTCCTTGGCCAGGTCTGCCCGCAATATCAACTTTTACTCAAAATTAATAATTAGGCCTCCACTAAAAAATAACTTAATCGCTGCAAGAAGATAAGCTCAGTTAGTTTTTTTTTTTTATTGAGTTCTGAGATTTAGGTTACAGAACTCACTTTCCACTGGGTTTGATTTTTTGCGAAATGCCAAATGTTTCCATCCAAACATTTTACCCGAGGGTGATTTTAACGAAGTCGGCCAAACATTTAATAAATACTATGAACAAAAGGAATTTTTTGACTTTGAGGTTTATTGAGAAAAAATTCAGTTAGTAACATTTATTTGAAGGCATGCGAAACCAGTTGGCCCGTATACTGAAAATAACTATTCCACTTAGGATGATCAAGTGATCTCCATGTAAATTTACCCATACGATCAGTTTCAGCTAAAATATCTTACCCATTACTGACTCTGTTTGATTACGTGATAAAAGATATTTTACCCTTGAAAACTTACTCACGTTATTCTTCACTTTACATTAAATTACATTACATTACAGGGAGAGATCTAATAGATGGATGGATTAGATGGATGCTTTAGGAAGAGCTATTACTATCCTTCTACGTTATAATTCTACGTAACACTATATTTCCCAACCCTGAGGTGAATTATAATTATCTTTTTACACCCTTTAGGTTAAATAACTAGCTGATAAAAAAATTGCCTGAAAAACTGACAATATGTCAAAATGTGGCCGGAAAATTAAGCAGGTCAAAAAATTGTACTCCCGCTCTCTTGAATAAGGAGAAATTTTGAACTCTTTCCCTGAACTTCCCGGGAGTCATATCTTCAGTGAGTGAAACAGAGCTGCGAAATATTGGGAGCAAAATGTTGAATCAATGTTTAACCGTTGTTTAACAGGACTGCGTAATAACCCATTTCAGTTTATCCCTAAGTTAATTTATAAGTTCCTTTTTTGAAAAATGACCGGCCATAGCTGTTTCTCATTTTCCTCTTAGAGTACTTGACATTTCACCGAAACCCTGGAACGTCTCAGGACATGACATTGGAAAGATTAGTTAAGTATCATTGAATTAAAAATGTAGAGAGAGAATTTGAAATAAATCGATAATATCTGTTTCCTCTCGGGATATCTGTCAGAGAAACGATTAGCCATTTGACTGAGCCTCGGCTTTCCGGAGATAATAAAACTTGGTCAATTTCCTCTGAGCCAGCCAATGAGCGCGCACGAAAAGAACTCTTCACGTGTGTGATTTATATTGAAATGACATATCAACCCAAGATTCTCTGGAAATTTCTTTTAAATTTAGTTACGTGTCCTTTTTTTGGGAGGGGGTGGAGTGGTAAGGGAGAGGGAGAGTGACTTATGGCCAAATTCCGATCATACTGATGAAATCTGCCACGGAGAAGCTACGCAATATAAAATAAGCGGAATATAATGTACCAAATGGCGAACTGGATGAATTGGGCAGTTTCAAAACAACATCAGAAAAATAAAAGCACGGTTCAATTTTCTACTTTATACAAACAATTCCCGCTGTAACTTGTCAATTGGCCTTTCAATGCAATGGTCATCGCAAAAACTGATCGGCTTGGAGTCAAGCAACTTGAGAGATCACCTGTCTCTAAACGGGTTTTCTTGATTAAATTAACCCTGATACCGCTATTCCTTTTCAGCGTCAAGTTGTCTTTCCCTCTGAGCTTGTTTCTACGCACTTAGAGACTTAGTAACATGTTTGATCTTCCCTGGGTTACCTTGGGGCGCTTGATTGGAAATAGGGCTCCATGACCAACAGCTGTCCGGTGCTGAGTCAACTTGGTGTGTATTTTGAATTTATCTCCAACTACTTCATTTTCTGAGATAGAATTGGCACCTTAATGATGCCTTGACAATACAATTCACCAAATCAAAGTGTTGCGTAATCTTTGATATGGCGGAAACGAATGCATGCTCCGCACAACTATAAATGGAACAAGTGTCTGTGTGTGCCTTCTGGCGCCAGCTGACTTTCTCTGGGGAAGAGCATAATCAAGAGAGATAATTTGTGCACTTTTCCGGTACGATAGTTATTTCCTGTAAGAGTCAGTATGCAGCACCATAGCGGCCACACACGGTATGTTATCTTAATGACACCACAAACCCCAACTCCCGTTACGTTTCTCACGCAGAGTTGGTAAAAGAGCTTTTTTGTGGTTTCTTTTACGCGAGTATGGAACTAACCTTTGTTTAGAGAAAAACACAAATACTCGTTATATGCCACCTTTCCGACTCATGATAGATAAAGCATGATTTTACTGGCCGAGCAAAACGTGGAATAAACTACAAGAATCTGAAGTAAAGATATCGAAGTGGACTTTGACTGAGTCATGTCATTGCGTGATGAGCACAGGCGGCAGTGCTTTGAGACACTTCACACCAAACCTTATCTGTTAATTAGCATCTTAACTGAACCGTTTTTGGAACTGCTTTCCACTATTTTCGTACCATACCACACATTTTCTCTTGGTCTGTGCCAAGCACGGGGTTTGCGTCGGGGACAGGGGAAAACGCTTATTAACAAAAAAGAAAAGAATTATAAAGCCTTAATAGTCAATGACAACTGAACTGGAACTTTGAACTTCAAAGTGAACGTAAATCAGGAACTGCATATTCATCAACGATTTTCGGCTGTTAAAAATCAGAAAAATGTTGCAAAAATCAACCAATATCTCTAGAAATGTTCAGAAACAAAACGTTGCCAATTCAGTTGTTTATATTTACCGAGGTGATTGGTTAGGTATTGACTGAGTGTCTTTGAGCAAAGTTTTGATATCTAGAGAGATGAACCAACGCCTACCTTCAAAAAATAGGATATTTCCGTTTTACCCACAGGATGCGACCATAAAAAGTAAACACTTTCCGGTACTCTCTTTTTTTGTAAGAACGTCTAATTTTGGTGCTCAGGCTGAACTTTCTTTTCTTTTTTTTTTCGCGAACTGAGCCAAAAAAACGTTCTTAATATGTTTTTTAAGTTATGCGGTGATCAATCAGTTTGGTGACCAGAAAAGGCATTATTGGAGTGCCGGGATAGGACTTTATCTACATAATCTTGCCCGGGGGGACTTAAAAGGTCTTCAAACTGAGCATCGATTAACGAATAACTTCTGATCATCGGAACCTAATTTCCGATGTGAGAACTCA